TTCAGGCCCCTGCGTACGCTACGAGCATTTTACCGCAGCATTTTCTGGGTGGCTCGCACAAGCGTACTCCGGAGGAGTTCCCATTTTCCTGCGTCCCGCACACAAACAACAGACATGGCGAAGAACGCCCCGCTGTTGGGAGAGGGCAAGATGCTGGACTGCAGGTAGAGTTTAGGGTTCAGGGTTTAGGCTTTTTTGTTTAGGGTGCAGGGTGTAGGGTCTGGGGTAGGCTGGGGGTGTAGGATGCCCCGGCACGTGGAATATTACCCCAGTAATGGAGAAGCAAATGGAAAAGAAGATGGACAATGAAGTGCAAACTGGGGTTATATCTGGGCGTACAAGGATAATTTCCAATACCGAGCAAAATGACATGGGTAATTCGTCAGCGCCCTGTATCACTTTCTGTTCAGTTTTAGGCACCTGCCGTGTTTCTCGTCGAACTGGACTGATACACAGTCAACTTGTAGCTGCTTTGAGACTTAAAATTCCTAGTCTCGATGGTGTGGGCCTCACTTACTATGTTCGCTGTCTAACACCACCCTCAGCGTGGTTCGACTGCGCAGACCAAGGAAGAACCACACCAAAGCATCTATCTTCTACGGCGCTGATGAGTACCTGGAGGAGTCGCTTGCCATGTTCTGTCGCGCACAGCTGCGTAACCTTTGTCCTCTATCATTATTACTAATGCTATCAACGTTATCGTTGCTGTGCGATATGACTACTGCAATTCGTATGACTGCTAATCAGACTACCGTTCTTGTTATTGGTACTTGTACTACCAAGTATTATCGGTTGAGATAAGCTACTGTACTATTATTGCACGCATGAATATTCCTGCTTCTATCCCTTTACTGCTACTGCTGATGGATAAAGCAGACTATAACACCACATTCAGCAAGGTAGCATATCTCGGGTCATGCAGGGCGTTGTCCGTCGACAGCATTACTTCTTTGCCTACTCTTACTGTTTCTATTCGTGTAGGTGTGTATTGCACTTCCCACGCTACTTTGTATTCGCATTAGGTCGCAGTGCTGTCTGTTCAATATTGCGTCAGAAAGCTGTTTGTTTTCGAGCAATCCCCTGTTGTTTTCGGAGCAACATGAAAAGCTAGTACACTTTTCCATAAACAATCACAAGATAGACCAACCATAATGTAGATCGCTAAAACAAACGGTTGCGATTACGATGTTGCAGTAGACCGTAGAAATGATGGTGGCGAAGGTGGTGTTGAGAGTGTTGGTCTGTTGCGTGGCCCATGGGGGAAACTCCGAGCCAACCAATTCTGCCGTTGAAGCAGTGAGAGCTTCAGTAAAGAGAGCTGTTGAGAACACTTAAAGAGCCTCCGGCTCAGTCCGCCGACCCACGGGCCAGACCTGCGAAACCGAAGCGCGGCGTGAAGAAGCGGCAGTTGTAACAGGAAGGTGAGTACGAGCGTTCACGCTGGCACGGGCAGTATCTAA